ATAAAAAAATAAAATCTTAGATCTGATCTGTTTAATGTATATAAAGATTTTAATGCATGGTAAATACTTATTTGAAGATCGAGGAATCAATATTTCAGTTATGCCATTCAGATTAAGTCTTATGTTGTGTTATACAGGGAGAAAACCTGTTATAAGTGAGTGGCGATGAAAGATCTTTAAAGATTCTTTATTTCATTCCATTCTAATGGCTCAATTAGAGCATCTGTAACAAAATATCTGATCTTGCTCCAACTGATTCTCTATATGGTTATTTAAAATAAAGAAAAATTAAAATTCAGATAATTCTCTAAAATTTGACGTGTCCCACCAATGAGATTGACTCATTGTTATTTTATATAAATTCTTTTTTAAAAAGTGTACTGAGATGATACATTTGTAGAGTATTTTAATAATAAAAATGAATATTGAAATTTCTAACATAGAAAATCTGTTGGAATTGAATGTAACTCTTTTAACTGATTTTGACTTTTGATTATCTATTTCAGATAAATTCCAAAGAATCTGTAGGAGCTGCTCTTGCTTGGTATTATAGTTGGAATGAGAACCACCCGATTGGTATTGCATTTGTCCGTATATAAATATTAAATGCTTAAAAAAAGTATTCTATATACGAATTTCATACTTTATAATTAATGATTAAACGCTTCCATATTAAATTATATTCTCTTTATAGAGTTTTTCTCGATTCTTTGTAGACGATTGTCGTCTTTTGGTTAGTATAGACCTAAAGAGAGTACGTTGTCAAACCTTTTTTTTACTGGTTCCTTTCACAATTGGCAGAAATCTGAATATCTACGTCTTTTATATGCAAATCTTCTCAATATGTAGATCATTATGGGTTGAAATCTAGGTCGGGTATGGAGTGAACCATGAAAGCTTGATTCACTATAAAACAATATGTGAATCGTATTGGCTTTTACTTATCAATTTATAATAAAAAAACTCATTTCAACTGAATTTCATATATATATATATATATATATATATATATATATATATATACACAAACGAGAGATCATGTGAGATAGAGATAGTTATGCTAAGAATGATAGAACATTTCTTAGCATTTGGATGAGTTGACTTTTTGATCTAACTTAATTTTTTTAAACTATGTTCATTATCTTCAATTACATTCATCTACCTTTATCTTCATTTTAAAGTCCGTTTTACGAACCTTTACATACATTTAATCACTTTCATGTAAACAAATTTGTTAAAATTTCGATCATAATAACAAAAATAAGTAAATAAAATATTTTACTCCAATATTTTCATCATAACTTTTATTCTTAGCGAAACCCAACCTGATATTTTAATTCCAAATCAGATAAAAACATAATCATAATTAGAATCAAATAAATTAAAAAAAAAAAATCAAATCTTTGATGATTCTTTAGTTGTTTATTTTATTGATATATTTTGGGTATTTATTTTATAAAAAATAAAAAAATAAAAATAAAAATAAAAAATGAAGAAGATTCTATTTCCAAACAAAAGTCAAATGCAGTTTGACCTGTGTACCCCACAAAATCTGGTAAAAGGATATCAAAACCTATAAAATGGGAAAATAGACCCGAAGTTGACGCTCTTTGAAAAGCAAGCGATGAACACTAATCCAAACACCGACTTCGATTTCGAACGCAAACCCTCTAAAATCCCCAAATCGAAATCCACTTTCCTTTTCTGCTTTCTTCTTCATGTTGTTTCCTTTCTCAACTTCTTCTTGATTTTCGCTTCCAATTAGGTTTTCCCAAAACCCCACAATCGCCGCTGCTTATATCGTCTTCCCAAACACCCAGGTTTATCCGAGGAATTCGGACAACAAAGAGACCATCGGAATCAGTTTACGTTTCATGAGTTTATCTCCCACATGTTAGTTCTTGGTTTCTTGTTTGTTTTTGAGGTTTATAATCTGGAATTTTTGCATTTTGAATGTTAAAACACCACGAAGATGTTTGGATGTATGCAGTTTTTTTTTAGGGTTTGCGTTAATTACGATGTTTGGATAATCGTCTTTTTTTAAGGGTAGAGTAAAGGGGAATGCTGAATAGGATACTCGTAGTGTATTAGTTTACTAAAACTGACGAGTGAAAGTTTTTCTGTAGGGAGCATTGGAGGACGTCTGACCACCTTAATCGTCTGAACAACCGGTTTGCAACTTCTGTTGAACCTCCAAAGGTGCGAATAATTGGATTCTATTTTGTATACATTTTCATGAGTTGAATGTAGCTATGTGCATTAAAGTGTTAGTTTGATGCAATTTAGGGGCTGTTTGGTTGGTTTTCCGTTAAGTCCTAAATAGATAAAGCTGTCCGGAGAGGTTGAGAAGTTTTTTGTTTGGGCTCATAGATGGAAGTAACATGATTTTTAATTGTACGGGCAGGTTTAGAAGAGACTTGGCTTTCTGCATAAAAATCTCCCTAGAAGCTTACTGAAAAGTCACTTTCTATATCATTAAGCCACTACCAGATTGTCATGTATAGCTGACCGAATAAGTTATGAGTCCCATTAAGGTCATTAAACTGCTAACAAACATGCCCTTGGTTGGTTTCATTTCATAATGATAGGATCTTGCAATAAGATCCTTACTCCTTAGGGTTTGTTTCGATGTTAAGTTTAGTAGATTTCTTTTAACCAATCGTACTTAATAGAGTTCACGATATAATTATTTGGTAATTATGATTCTAGATTACTAGTTGGGAGAAGCAGATATGGAAACTGCAAGCATCAGTTTATCATATTCTTTATCAGCCCTAACATTTAGATATTGATTATCTTCCCGCTGTATGTAAACACTTGCTAGGGCGTACTTGTTCATGGATTGCGAAACTTGAATCAGCAGGAGATGTGGGATGTTAATCACCATGCAATGATATCCCATGGGGTTATTTCTTCTGATTCAGCTGTGAATGTGGGATACAATTGTTACAATTATGCTTCCATTAACACATCAAATCCTGGATATTTTGGAGGTATGCATTTTTAGTTCGATACCAAATTGGCTGCAAAGTTTCGTGTTCATTTATGATTTTTAAAACTTCCTGAAGCACTTTAATTTGCAAATTGATTTTATGCAGGATCTTCATTGAAGGACTATAGCCAAAATGTTGCCAGCACCAATATTTCTTGTGATGGGATGAACATGATTCCTCCATTGGATAGAAAACAGGCTTATATGGAGTTTATTACTTCTCCCGAGCATGCATCGTGCATCACGGCATCTTCTTATGAGGATGCTATATCTGACACCGAAGCTTATGATAGTGTTCTACATTCTATTTATGGCCCATCAGCAAATAACCTTTACCAACAGCAACCTTCTCATCTGGGTATGGTTTCTATTCCAAGTGTTTTCTCTCCATCTCTTCACACATATCCCTTCGGGTGTGTTTGGTATCCAGACAAGATAGGATAGAACAGGACTGAACAACCATTAAATGTTTGGTAAGACAGAACTGGACAGGACAATACTGATAAAATGACCAATTTACCCCTAATGAGTTGTGTATATATTTTGATTAATTTATGTAATTATAATACATAAATATTTTTTACAACAAAATATATCATTAGTAAGTTCTCGTCAAGACTATTAAATGACATCAAAATAAAAAGTTTATGTAGTTTTGAAAATATTATACCTTCTCTATATTATTTTATTGTTATTATTAATATTTAATAAATTACATAAATTTTTCAAAATATAGAAACTGTATAGAAATAATATTTTGAGGATAGTAACGTGAAAGTTTGAAGAGTATAAAATACAAATACGTAAAATTTAAAGAAGAAATAAAATGTAAAGAGGGAGGCGTATTTGATGTTTTAGAAGAGAATTAGGTTTTATTGGTAAAATATAGGTATGTTCCATGGGTTGGGGATGAAACACGCCTATTCCACATAGAAGTCCTGCCAAACATGGAACAATGAGCCTCTTCTGTTCTGTCCAGTACGGTGTACCAAACGCACCCGTTCAAGTTTATTTATGCATCTCATATTGCACTTTCCCTTTATACTTGTTATCAATAGGTAAATATCGGAGCTCTATCAGGGAGAGGCAGATTGCATACAACACATATCATCGTACGTCATTGGTGGATAATGTGCAATCTTTCTATTCAAAACCGTGTAGTGTGCAACAGAATTTCCAGTATAATCCTGAGTCTGCTCACTTTCTGCCCAGCAAATATAACAGCCATAGATCGGATTGTGGTGCTCTTTTGCAATCTGAGGTTCCTTTTCAGCAGGATATTCATGCAGCAGAGTGCAAGAACAACTTATGTAAATGCCATGCTTTAAATTGCAATATTTGTGGGCCCGCAAGGAGGTCATGTGGTACGGCTAATTTTTTCTTGGGATCAAGAAAACGAAAATTTGATACCTTGGATCCTTCCATTAAGGAATCTCGGATTAGCACTGGTACCCTTGTAGATATGCTGCCTGCAAATTATCTGAATGGTTCGATAGTTGTTGATCAGATTTCACAAGAATTTTCTCTTTCACCAAGTCAACAAGGTCTGCCTGTTCAGCTGCCATGTTTGGAACAGTGGCCTAAAGCTAGTGTACATAATGAAGATATCTCAACTGCATCTTGGGACCGGAAAGCTAACAGTATAATTACAGAAGATTCCATGAGAATTAATCAAAGCAAGAACTTGAATGCTGCATTTTGTGAACAGAAATCAAAAGGGGCTGAAGGGAATGGTGATACTACAAATGATGAATTCAAAGAACCACCTGAGATAAGTTCTAAAAGAGTGCATCTTTGTGTTGAAGAAAAGACCAGTGATGAAAAGGAGGAATCGAGTCAAGTAGGCCCAAAAGCTGGGGAGCCTCAACAAGCAAACTGTGAATCTACTGCAGCTTCAGATGTTTATGACTCGGTGTTGGAATCTGAGGAGACCAATATACAGAATACATCTATGGATGAAAATGACTCGGGGTTGGGATCCAAGAATATCAAGACACCGAGTACCTCGATGGCTGATTCTTTCACAACATCTCAAATCAAAGAACATTTGTTGAGTTTTCCTCGACATAAGGTTTGTACATCAAGATTGCACTGCTATACTAATTTTTATTTATTTATCCTATTTTCCCTTTCCTTGGATTACATTTCCTTGGGGAGTTCTTCCATGGTCTATTTAGCTCAATGACCTCCCGAAACTGGTTTTGCAAAATGACCCTCTAGTGTATTTATCATTGATCTTAACACTTGAGATCATTTATGATTTATCCAAAGGACCCATACTTCCATGATGTTTTATAATACCAAATCCTTGAGTTTCTATGTTCATAGCATATTGTTAGAATAAATGGTTTGATCAAATAATAGAATCCTAATATAATGGATGTTTTACGCAGGAGATATCAGGACACACAACACCTTCAATTAGTGATACCACATGCCAGTTGTGTTTTATGGATAAGCTGTTGCTCTCCCCTGCACCCATATATTGCTCATCTTGTGAGACACGGATTAAGCGAAATGTTGGATATTATTGGTCGGCAGATGAAGAGGGCACACACCATTGCATTTGTATGCGATGCTTTGGGGGATCTCGTGGGGCTAATATTTCAATACGTGAGGGTTCTATTTCCAAAACAGACCTGCAGAAGGCAAAGAATGACGAGGAATACGAGGACTCGGTAAGTTAAGTTTCCATTTGTCATTTGGACACCACTCCCTCCCCAAAATAAACATCCACAATGAAAAAGGCACACGGTTTAGAAAAATGTAATTATTACACTTTTCTATTAACTATGACAATTTTACTCTTAATAGTAGAGGGAATAATGAATTTTTTTCATCTCATAGTTAATGGTAGAATTGGAAAGTAGACACTTACTTTTGAAGGTGGACACTTATTTTGGGATGGAGGGAGTAATATAGATCATGACCTTGATAAACTCACCGGCTGCTGTTTTCTACAGTGGGTGCAGTGTGATAGATGTCAACATTGGCAACATAGGATTTGCGGTCTCTACAATAACGAAAGACATACAGAAGGGGAGGAAGAATATATTTGTCCTAAATGTTGCTTAGAAGAAATAGAGGACGGAAGGCGTGTCGCATTACCACCGACTGCTGTTTTGGGAGCTAAAGATCTGCCGAGGACCAATCTCAGTGATCATATAGAGCAAAGACTTGCTAGGCGTATGAAGCAAGAGAGAGTAGATATGGCAGAATTTTCTGGAATAGAATTGGGGAAGGTAAGAAGCAAATTGAGAGTTCTTTTTTTCTACTTCAATTTTCTTGTCTTATGCAATTAAGCTGGTATTAGTTTATCATGCTTTTATTGTACGCCAATCTTAGTTTGTTATGCCTGCCTGGTATTAGTTCGTTTTTATTTTGTGTCCGTCTTACGTGTTCCTGCTCCTTATTGTACCCGAGTCTTGTTTCCACACACTCTGCTGCTACTTTTCTCGCTTGTATCCTTGTATTTTGTTTTTGCAAGCCGGGAGTCTTCACGGAAACAACCTCTCTACCCCTTTGGGTAGTGGCAAGGTTTGCATACATCCTACCCCTAGATACTACCTCTGTGTGGGATATCCTAGGTTTGTTTGGTTAGGTTTACGCTCTATAATTTAATTCATGGTTATATATTGTATGTAAACTTGTGACCAACATACATTTGACACTTGTATATTCTGATACTAGCAAGAGTATGGTGTGTCAAAAAGTTGAACCTTTTTGATTAGTTTTCAGTGGAAGTAACAGAAATCTAGCATAGCTTCTTCAACATAATCCTTTAGAGTGCATTTGGTATCCAGAAAGGACAAACCGAACCGGATAGAACAACTGTTCAGCATTTGGGAAGACAGAACTGGACATGACATAATAGATAAAATGACCAGTTTACCCCTTATCAGTTTGTTTATATATTTTGATTAAATATGTAATTTATTAAATTATAAAAAAATATTTGTTTTTTATAACAAAATATATCATTAGAAAGCCTTTGTCAAGATTAAAATGACACCAAAATAAAAAGTTCATGTAGTTTCCAATTTTTATATTATGCCTTTTCTATATTATTTTCTTATTATTAATATTTAATAGGTTACATAAATTATCAAAATATAGAAACCGTATAAAAATAACATTTTGAGGATAGTAAAGTGAAAGTTTAAAGAGCATAAAATACAATAAAAATGAATAAAATGTAAAGAGGGAAGCGTATTTGCTGTTTTAGAAGAGAAATAGGTTTTATCGTTAAAATATAGGTATGTAATACCTTGTTCCATGGGGTGAGAGTGGAACAAGCTTGTTTCTTTCTGTTCCACATAAAAGTACTGTCAAACGTGGAACATTCTGTTCTGTCCTGTCTAGCGTACCAAACGCACCCTTAATGTCGTAACATTTAATATTATCGATTTTCAATTTTGTTCATGTTGACAGGTACCTGTAGCAGAAGATCTTGTTGTCAGAGTAGTGGTATCTGTTGACAAACAGTTGGAAGTGAGACAGCAATATAGAGATATACTTGATGAAGAAGATTATCCGGCACAATTTGCATACAGATCAAAAGTAAGATGAGCTATTTTGTGCTTCATGTTTGTGGTAGTATGCATTTAAAAACTAGATTCTAACATTCTTTTTTGCAACCAGTTAATTTTTTTGTTCCAGAAACTAGAAGGGGTGGATGTGTGCCTCTTTGGAGTGTGTGTCCAGGAGTTTGGATCAGACTGTCGCGGCCCTAATCATCGTTGTGTATATATTTCATACCTTGATTCAGTCAAGTACTTCAAACCAGAAAGAAATACCGCAAGTGGTGAATCTCTTCGTACCTTCGTTTACCACGAAATATTGGTATTTTTCTTTCCATCTTTGTTTTGAATCATATATATATATATATATATATATATATATATATATGTTTATATACGGAAACTCACACACACTCTCACTGTGAGGCTTGAACTCTTAGGTTGGGATCTACTATTAACCTGGATTCTGTTGGACCAATGACCCTTTAGCGTTCTTTTCTTCTTTATAATCTGTTATCCTTGTCTTGTAGGCATTCTAAGCGTTTACATTGCAGCACATTCTTGAACGATGTAATAAAATTTTCTTATCTTTTGATCATCAGATTGGATACCTTGAATATTGCAAGAAACGCGGTTTTGCGACCTGTTATATATGGGCATGTCCTCTTATAAAAGGGGAAGACTACATCTTTTACTGCCATCCAGAGAAGCAGAGAACACCAAAGCAGGATAAGCTACGGCAATGGTATGCTCCTATCTCTTACTCATAAAGAAGCCCAACTTAAAACGGTCATAACTTTTGATTCATTGTGAGTTAAGGGGTCCACAAGATTCGTTCGGTTTGAAAAGAAGCCCATTGCAGTTTGGCACATAATCCTTTATTTGGATCCCCAAATCCGACTTCAAAGATTTTTTCCCTTCATTTTCTATTTTTATTTATTTCAGTAAAAATAATCAGATAGCATGAATACTCATTTTTTTGATCTTCACGTCTTCATTTAGGCAAGAATCAGTTATAATTGACTTTCAGTTTTTGAATTTCGTGATTTTTGACCACCTGCCAAAACTAGATCCACCGTGTGTGTTCTTGCTTCCGGTATGTGTCATTTATGGCTCCAGTGGCACTAATTAGAAAGTGTTAGTTTCAGTAAGCAATATGTGCTTGTTTTGTGTGTGCATAACCTTACCTGAGGTCATTTCCTTATGCAGGTACAAATCAATGTTACGAAAGGCAGCGGAAGATGACGTTGTGGTGGACAACACTAATTTATACAATCAATTCTTCGTTCCCACCAGGCAGGGAAATACGAAGATAACTGCAGCCCGTTTGCCATATTTTGATGGCGATTATTGGTCAACGGCTGCTGAAAGTATAATCAAGAAACTCGAAGAAGAAGAAAGTTCTGGAGGATTGCGTAGTAGGTTACCTACTAAGAGAACCTTGATAGCCATGGGACTGGAGAACCCTGATGTTGTGACGAAGGATGTCTTAGTGATGCAAAGAGTAAACATTCTAACTTCTTATTTACATCAACTTTATTAAATTTTATCAACTTATATTAAACTTCAAGTCACTGGTCTTCATGGAAACAACTGCTCTACTATTTGGGGTAGAGGTCAGGGATGAGTACATCTTACCCTCCCTAGACCGTACCTCCAGGTGGAACATTTTGGTTTTGTTTGGTTTGGTTTTCAACTTTATTGATGTTATCATTTTTGGCTTTCCTTCATTTTTGTTTTCCTCTTTCCGCAGCTTGGCGAAACCATTCTGCATTCGAAGGAAAACTTTATGATTGTTCGGTTACAGTACATGTGTACATATTGCCATGAAGTAATATTATCTGGAAGCAGATGGTTCTGCAATCAATGCAACAAGATTCAACTATGTTCAAGGTAAAATACTCTTCATTGTTATCATTCTGCTTTCTAAGGCCATGTTTGGCAACCATAAGCCAACATATTTTTCGAGCTTATTGCAAAAGCCCTGTTTGGGTAGGCATAAGCTAGCTTTTTACCTTTTTTTTTCTTCCAAATTTCTCGATTGATTTTTCAACATGTCCTTTTAGGTCATTTAACATTGTCATCTTCCTTATCCGTTAGTTCTTACCAATATGACTAGCTTGAAGCTTATCAGCTAGTTTGCTGAACATAGCCTAAAATATTTATCATTCACACTTTTGATTGTTCGTTATCAGATGTTTTAATGGTGGTAAACTTCTTTCCGGGAGGAGAATGCATACATGCCATTCTGGTAAAGTTAGTCGACTTTCAGAGGTAAGCTATGTTATGAAAGATCTTCCCTTTCCCTCCAATATCTTGTAGCGTGATCAAATACATGGTTAATTGCTTGATTCTTTTTTCAGGATGTGTTGAGCAATGTACCTATTGATACCAAGGATGGTGATGATGCGCTTGTAAATAATTTCTTCGAGACTCGAGATGATTTCTTGAACAAGTGCCAGAAATCTGAGTATCAGTTTGATACACTTGGCCATGCCAAGTATTCCTCTATGATGATCCTATATCATTTCATGAACGAGCTTAAGTTAACTCAGCCTTCGACAAAAGCTATCTCCAAAACCAGAAGTGATAAACATAAGCAAAGAGTGATGATGGTAATAAATGAGCAAAATTTGCAAATTATAGAATGTTGTTCATCATCTATTATGTTAACAAAATGCAAAAATTTCCTATAATCCTATCCTAATCTTGTTTTGCCTTGTGGGTCAGCTCAACTGGCAAATAAAGACTAGGCCTTGGGGATCCTCCCTATAGGTTGCCAGTTTGTGTCTCATTTGGGCCACTGGGGATTTCCATAGCTGTTATCTTCAGGGGCCATAGGATTAGTCGAGGTGTGCGCAAGCTGGCATGGAAATCCACCGTTACAGAAAAGGATTTATTGTCCTAATCTTGTTTTAGTATTATTTTCATTATTTTAATCCCATGTTGTATTGCAGATAAAGGCCAGTCTAGATGCTTTAATGCATGCCTCTAAATGTAAGAGCATCCAGTGTTCCTACCCGGATTGTCGGACCATCAGAAAGCTTCTCCACCATGCTTCTATATGCAGTGTCAGGGTTCGTAATGGTTGCAAATTTTGTGAACGAGCGTGGTGGATACTAAAGGAGCACGCACAAATTTGTAAAGATTCCAATTGTAGAATACCTCGTTGCATGTGAGTCCATATGCTAATCTTTATTCTTGCTACTTGTTTCTCACACTCTTGTACACGCCAGGGGTCTTCCACGGAAATAGCCACTCTACCCTTTGGAGCAGAGGTCCAGTCTGCGTTTATTTCACCCCTGGACCGTACTTCCGTGTGGGATTTACCGGTCCATTTGGTTTGGTTTTGTTGCATGTGAGTCATGATAACAAACACTTTTACAATTCTTACATCTTGCATAACATATTTCTATGGAAAAATAAGTATCCTCTAAGGGTCAAAACATCTTTATGTAAATTTCTCATTTGTGTTCTTGAGATCATTAGAACTGTTTCCCTGTAACACAGAAGAGTTGACATATATATAGATTCTAAGAAGAAATAATCTGCTAACCTACTTTTCATTCATACTGATTCTTCAGGGACATAAGAAAGCACCGAGCAACACTTTCATTGAGCTCTGAGAATACACAAAATGCAACGAAGAATAAGCAGTTAAGGCATGTCGACAGCTGATATCATTTGATGGATAAAATGGCCTCTACAGTGAAGTCTATAAAAACAAGAGGTTGAAGTTCAGTTCTGTATAGTTAACCTGAGTGGATCAAGATTGACTTCTTTTTGGTACATGCATACAAGTTATGATTCTTTGCTACGTATATATACAGGGTTGGGAGAACCTGCATGTCAAGATAACGGAAGGGCTAACTCTAAACCCTCTGGAGATGTATTGAACAGTAGGTATGTATGTATGAGAAGTTGTTCATTTGTTTCATTTATTTGTTCGATACCAACAAAAAGAGAAATCGAGAATAGAAAAAACTTAGCAAACCTAAAATGGAAATTATTTATGTGGCTTGTTGAAAGTTAATATAATTGCTACAATTATCATAATGACTGAGAGTAAGAATTACAAGCAAATGATACAAAGACATGACTTCATTCAACCAACCACCAACACCACACCACCCCGGGGCCCTAAAACACCCACAAAACACCAAGCAAAAAGTGTGAAAAAACCTAGGCCCAGTAGCAGATTAAATGTACTGAAGAGGTTACTATCATATCCCTATGACTACACAGCCAATTAACAGACACTAAACACAGCAGACAACTCTTTGATACCAAAAAACAAGAGTTGCTATCACCATTGCTTTACGGATGTAATGCATCCATCATGTAGAGATAAAAGTCCATAGCTTTCTTCCTATTGAAACTTCACCTGGATGTTGTACCTCATCTTTGCTATTCTCAACCTCTTCCTCCTCTTGAGCTTCAGGGGTTCCAATCTCGTTATCACTGTTGGCACGCTCTCTATCCTGTTGCAGCGTTCTATTCAAGATCTTGTCTTCTGCAACTTTACTCTGAGAAATAACATCCAACCAATAAGTAGATGCCTTAGAGGCCACTTTAAGTTAAGAACACGTCTAGCGAACTTGTATATAGTAACTGATATGATAACATTCAAGAAAAGTTAATGATTTGAGATATCTTGAATCCACTTCAAATTAAAGAATGGATCTATCAAACAAGATATGCGATCTAACATCCATTTTGTTTCTAACATGAGTTAATAATGGATGTTAGATCTCGTTGATATGGTTTATATGCACCTTCAGACACTCATCAGCTTGAGAATCTTCAGGATAGTTGCCATTAGCAGAACTTGTTGAAGGTCCACGTTGGAAGTTCGAGTCTGAGACTCCGCTGTTTATTCGAACACCATCAACTCCCTCTTTGCTCGAGACACCATCAAATCCCTCTCTTTTACTTGGGTTAGACAATGCTCCAATGTTATAGATTAGAGATGCACTGACTAAAAACAAAATGCAGATTAGTAACAAATGCCCAAAAAGTACATATAAATATATAATCCCATGAATAGGTATGTGTATATATAAAGTAAACCAGAAAAAGGAAAGAGAACAGGAAAATATTCAACCTAATCTATCTTACCTTTTATTACAGTGCATGCTTTAATACTTTTAAGGTTTCTTTGCCTTTCAAGATAGAAATCAAGGAAACTCCTCGATTTCTATAGTCTACTAATTTCTGATCGTTGCAGATACATTTATTGTTGATACATTGTTTGGTTTCATACTCGTCATTGAACTCAAATAAAAAACATGACCATCGAGCAGATTTTATTGATGCATATGTGAATTAAAGAGATGCAATAGAGATAGATACATGCACGACTCAGGATCGTCCCTGAAAAGCAAACCAAGTTGTGCTAATCTGTGGTAGGAATTTAACATGACTGTCTCTAGATTTTGGAGAGATTCAAACAAAATCTTGAATATATAACATATATTGTATGCATAAATCAAATCTAATAATGTGACCTAAAGCGTGATGATTGTTTGTAAGCTTTATGGAGATTCAGAGTGATTTATTTTTACTTACATCTTGGGTCGCCAAAAGGTTGAATCTTTTCTGTTGAGGTGCTTCTACAACCGGGGTGTCTTTCCATTTCCTGTTCCTGTGATCCCAATTTGCAACACTATCAGAATCTTATAAAAATCTTCGAGGTACATTTTGGGATGTAGTCGTACCAGAAGCAGGAGATTTTGAATTAGCTACGTCTAGGGTCTTATTACAGTTTGGTTTTTCGGGAGTACCCTGAATAGCCTCCTTCAAATAACTATCAGCTATTCTTGGAGGTGTAAAGGTTTCCGCTTTATTTACTTCTAGAGACTGGAGGTCAGTTAACGTAAGCTCAGAAATCCTCTGTTTACAATCAATACAGTCTTTCTGCTTCTCAACCAACGAAATGAACCGCTCCCTTTCCTTTTCGCGCAGATAATTTTCTATCTCTGTCTCTCTATTCTGCAATATGGTTTCAAGTGCTTGTTTCTGCATTTGGAAGTCCGGAAGCATCTTGGAGTTCTCTGATGTTTTTCAGCTAAAACAGATTTCTCATGATTCGTATTGGCAGCAAACGAACCGTTAGCCAGCTTGAGAGCTTCAAACTCCCTTTCTACGTAACCCCGTGTTTCCAACCTCCGATTCTTCAATCTTTCCTCTTGTGAACGGTTCCATTTTTTCATCCTTGCGTCCTGTTCGGATAAAGATTCTAATTCAGTTTGGATCTCGGTTTTTTCCTCATCCAGATGTTCCCATAACTTTTCAAACTTCTCCCTCTCCTGTTTCAGATCATCCCTTTCCTTCGAAAGTGCTTCAATTCTGACTGCAAACGATTTCTCGTCTTCTGTTACTTGTAATCGTTCCTGCTCTTCAATTATCTTCGACCGTTGTTCTTCAATTTCGGTCCTTAATTTCTGAAGCTCCGCATTGAGAAATCGAGCGACTTATCCTTGTCAATGCAATGCATATCTATCTGTTTCTTTTCAACCCCTCAAAGTTCTTCCCTTCAAATTCGAGGGATCTCTCCCTTTCCTTCAAATTCTTAATTCCTGTTGTTTCTCCTTCAATTTGTCCGGTTGCTCATATCATCTGAGTGGATCCTCATCTGCTCATTATCACGCTCATGCGCTTCTCTCCTAACAAGACCAATCACAACATTCGCATGTGATAAGCTAATCATGACCCGCACAAAAAGCGTGACGATCTGGGCATTGTCTCGGAGAGAGGCTCGTACTACTTCGCTATCCGTCACCCACGAATATTTAGACAATATGAGAATCAACTTCTGATATTTGTGAAAAAAAACACCATATAAACCAACTAATGGCTTGAAAGTGACAAACGGATGGTCTAGAAAAGCATGTATCATCATGCATTTGTCATCAAAATCTACAGAGAAATCTGTTTCGACTTATAACTAAAAAAACAAAATTATCTGAACTATATTATAAAAAATACTTATTAAGCATTAGATATTGCTTATTAAGCATAATCCCTTAAATTTCAATTTTACAAGTAATTACTACACCGTCCAACCCATAATAAGTGTCCGACAGTTCTATTTATTTTGTCTCAAAATAAGTGTTCGGTTTTGGAAATAGATAACTAAATTCTCAAACCTACCCTTGATTAATACATAAATATTTAAAAGTTGTGAAGAGAGAGAAATTAACTAAGGGTAAAGTTGTAATTTGACAACAATAAAAAATTGTAATAATCATGTATGTCCAAAACCGTGCCTAATCTTTTATTATGAACACTTATTCTGAGAGTACTTACGATTTTTAAAATTATTTAAATTTCATAAAATTAACTAATAATCAACTTACAAGTATTAATCATCATATTTACATCATTATATTTATTCAAAAGAAAATGCTTCATTATTAAAATTAAAATAAATTTCATTTTCATTTGAAAATCCAAAATATAATATGTTTTCAATTAAACAAATTATACCATAAAATTTAATATCGATATATTTTTTTGGGTTTTGATTACCATCTAAACAACAATAAAATATAAACTATAAAATAGAAAAACACATGAACATAGTTTTGCATAGAGAAAGATAACAGCTTCAATTTCAACATTTCACTCTACAAATTGAGCGATAAGTAATCACTTGTCACATATCCGTTATGTCAATCAATCACATGAATACATATTATCAATAGAGATGACAACGGAGTCGCAGTATCAGGATCGATGATCGCAATCTCCATCTCTGTTGGAGGATGAGATTTCATCCTCATTCCTATTGAAAAACAGGGATCCTCATCGGAGAATTGGGGATTTTTCCCTGTCTATACAATTTAATTTTTTTCGTAATGTTTTTATATAGTATGTATACAAATTCCAATTTTATGTTTAAACGGCATGTAATGCTAAAATATTAATTAACCAGATTTTAATTGTGGCATTTGTGTAAACGTAACGTAAAAACGTATTTTAAACACAAATATATCAATTATATTATTGTACTTAAGTGTGTGTTTGTGTGTGTATATATATATATATATATATATAGAGAGAGAGAGAGAGAGAGAGAGAGAGAAGTGGGTTATTATACAACCCCTTACATTTGTACAACCAATACAACTCAATCTCAACCGTCTATTTAATTTGATGAATATGTAATTTCATAKAAGTTTTGATTGTTTTCTAATATAAAGTATTTATCATAATTAATGAACCGTATTCATCTTCCATAAATATTTATATCATAATAAATAAACTCTCATCATTTCCATAAATATTTTAATTTATTGGTTGTACAAATGTAATGAGTTACATTTGAAATAAACTCTCTTTTTATATATATATATATATTTTATGCACATAAAAATGTATATAATTAATACCCGGGATCAGGTATCAGGTTTATAAATGAGTTTATAAATTCGGGGATTTCCCATCTCCAATCAAACCGGGATCAGGTATGAGGTTGACCGTTCATGCTTGATGCAGTGTTTTTTTGCCATCCCTAAGCTAAACATGAATTTGAATAAAATAAATTTTAAATATATAAAATTTAATTTGTTTTCGTTTCATTGGTTGGACAAAAATGAGAAGTCAAATCACGAATAATAAGAATCATGCAGCTTAAAATAAATAAGAAATCAAACCCTTTTTTTACTTCCTTTTCGAGCTCAGAGATCTTCACCATTGATGCTTCTTCATCCATCTCTCCACCGTTTGCAGCAAATTCCGTTTCCCTAGGGCTTGAATTGGGATCCGAATTGCCAGATCCGGATCCGTTCTCCTCCAAACCCGTAGAAAACCAACCCAACAACACCTTATTTGGCGTAAACATTATAATTCTCCCGAATTTGCGAACTGTAAATTCACAGTTATAGAGAGCAACGGCAATCGAATTTACCAGAAGAAATCTCTCACTCAGAATACTGATATAATGGAGAAAGGGCTTAAAATCCCACCGGACGTGAAAAATCCACAAATTCCGGTCGACGGAAGCAGCTGGAATCCGGCAATGTCTTCAAACTATTCCCACCGGACGTGAAAAAACTTTTAAATTCCGTTCGACGGAAGGAGGTGGAATCCGGCAACGTCTTCAAAGTAATCCCGGCGGACGTGAAAAAACTCCTAAATTCCGGTGGATGGGAGGAGGTGGAATCCGGCAACGTCTCCGATTCCAAACTAACTCTCTTAACTCAGAGTGGGTTGGCGCGGATCACCCGCTTTATATATCTTTTATTATTAAGACAGCGATTCAATATCATGAAATTACTATTTTGGGCTTCGGTTTTCTATAACAGCGTCTTGTTGGTCTAGGGTGTTTTTGGAATTTCAGCTAGCTTCCGTTGGAGACACAACATGGCTGGTTTTGATTAACCTGGATATCTAACCCGTTATGCGAGCCGATTAATCCCAGGACGACTACCTGCTTTGCAATAGCCCGAAGTTACCGCATTTGAACCTTCATGGCCACAAAAAGATTTTTATTCCTCCTTGGATTTGAACATGAGACTTTAAAATACTTTTGACCTTTGCGGCAAAGATCTTAGTGTCTACCCCGAAGGTAACACCTCAAGGCTCAACCCTCTTACTGTCTACTTGGAAAGTTTCATCCAAACATATAACTCAGTGAAAATATCCAAGTATTCCACATTTAGATAATCTTTCATTCATCAAGTCATGTAAGTTATCAAATACCATCATAAAATCATTCAAGTTCCTAAGGCTAACATTTATAGACAAAATCCCAACAATTATGATTTTTCGTAAAATACGAAGATAATGAACCAAAATGCATATAAACTGTCCTAATACGCATTTAGTTCACAAAGATTCATTGGTATCACCTCAAATGCATAAAACTTCACCAAATATGAACGTATGTCCAAATCACCAAATAGTTGTGTAATACTTGAAATTAAAGCATGTAATAGCATCATAGAACGCATTTAGGCATGTGTCTAGTTTTACAAAGCATTTAAAACTCATTTGATACGTTTTTTTTAGAAAACCTACAAAATCAGTAAAAACCCAAAAATGAAGGTGATGAACTTGGATCATGATCAATACTTGAAATCTTGATGTTTGGGAGTTTGTACACACTTGGAGATGAACAATAAATGCACCGTTATGTCTTCAAATCGGTTTAAATGAAAAGGCTAAAATTTATGTGAGTGCATTAATTGAGAAGATGACGACGGTGAGAATCTAGAAATCAAAACCCTTGTTCACTAGAAGAAACCGAGACTCAAAGTGTAGATAAAGCCTCAAAATGGGTGTTCTAGGTTATAGAGATCAAAGTAAATGGAAAAGGAGAGGAGTCGATGAAGTAACAAATGAGCTCAACGGCCAAAAAATTCGTTTTTGAATGAAATTTGCACAAGCCCCTTTTCTTAACTTTTTGCCCACATTCGTGCCAGTAAAGCGCCTATTTTCACTTGTTTTTCATACCCAATCACTACCAACCCTCAAAATATCTTATTTTTATTATTCTAAGAGTAAAACAAAGGTAAATATAAAATCTCGATATCTTACTTACTTGGAAATTTCCGGATGTTACAACGTGATTACTTAACTAAAGAAACTAAAACTTTAATGGGCTTGAATCTTGATGACCTCCTGTGTCATCTTCAAGAACATATTTATAGATGCCGATGGTGCAATAAAAAAAGTTTATATTGTCGAGAGAAAGATTCACTTCGCAGAGCTTAATGCAACTTTTTTCTAGTGTTTTATTATATATAATGTATTTTTTTTATTTTAAAAGAGAAAAAAAAAGAGGGAAAAAGACCGAAATGCCTCTCAGGTGAAGGGCACGACTGTAATTCACTCGGATTTTTATGAGTAGGTTACTTTTTAATTGGTAAATATTTTTTTTGGATTAAATCTCTAATTGCATTAATAACACTTGTGATCCAAACTTTTATTTTTCATTACGAATCGGACATATTTTTAACACTGCCTTCACATAAAGTAAAGTTAGTCTTTACGAGTTGTTCTCTCAAATGCCATCATTTTACGTATTTCATGTAGACATGTGTAAACTTTTACCCCTTCCTATATTTTCTAAATAAACTACAAAGTAAATTTACGTATATATTATTTCGTACCACCTATCTGACATGCATACAGTAGCGGTGTGCACGAGTACACTAGCGACATAAGATCTTGAGGGTAAAAAAAACTACAAAATCTAAATTCATATTTAAAGCGTAAATCAAACCTCATGGTTTTTCCCAATAATAATGGGCAAAGTTGAGGACTCTAGAAAGGAGGAGAAGGTGAAAATTTCAATTTAAATTACCTTCGTATGAAGAACATGTCTTCATTTAACGCGATTTTTTTAACGATCTTAACAACAAACACCCAATCCGTCATAGAAAATATAGGTTAAAGACCATCAATGTAATCAATTTATTTAGGAAAATAACGTGAACAGTCACTTACCGAGGGTTAAAAGCGTGCAACTAACAGAGGGGTTGAAAGTTGTCTTCTCCAAGTTACGGTCTGGACCACTTGCAAAGGCATTGACTTTTTGGTGAGTATGGAAGAGAGTTGGCAACGAAATGAATTGTTAAGTTAGGGGCCGTTTACCAATCACTTACCTGGGTAAGCGTTTACCAAGTAACATTACCTCACCGGATGAATATTGTAAGAACCAAGAATCTTACCCAGTAAGAGCGAAACAAGGATCAAGAGTCTTACCCTGTAAGTGAAGGCGACGACTCTTACCATGGTAAGCGCTTACCGAGTAAATTGTTGTATACGATATCGTTTTGGTGGACTAAAATTTTACCCGGTAAGTAAATAATAGTGTTAAATTTTACTGGTAAGCACCTACCAGGTAAGTGTTTGGTAAACGACTCCTTAATATCCCTTTATTTAAAGAACCCAATCCAATTTTTTTTTGCTAACCATAAGGACCAAAAATGTAATTCACTCCTTTTGCAATATTTCATTCGTTTTGACCCGTTGCCCCGGCAGTCCAATTGACCCGCCCGTTTTGCCACTCCAGTTGACGTTTACGTTTTTTTTTTTCAACGTGAGCTGGACTCATACACAGAATCGCTGATTCGATCTCTCTTCTCCAGTTTACGTTTGGATCCATCATCACAACTTCCATACGTTAAACTCCAATAACCACCGCCGGAACCCTAATTATAAGAACCCTCGGCTGTGTTAATCTCGCCGGCGTTCCTTCAGGAAGATGGTGGTTCCGGTGGTCAATTTCCCAATATTCTTATGTGTACGGAGTTTAGGAGTATTGGTGCTGATTATAGTTCTTATATGGAATGTTAATTACAGAGGAGGATTAGCTCTTTTCTCACAGAACAAAAGTCTACTCTTCAATGTAAGTTCTTCAATTTGATCTTCTGTTCTTTTAATTTCGATGTTTTGTTGAAGATAATTAGGGTTTTTTAACACGATTTCCAGTTGATTTGGATTTGTGATCGCTAATTTCAGTTGTGATTACTTTTGATGTTATTTGCTCAGTTCGATTAAGTTGGATCTTGCCTCCAGGTTGTTCTTCTAGGTTGATTATATAGTAGTTAGTGCTTGGATGATGTAGATTAAAATTGAACGGTTACGATTGGTTTTATAATCATTCTAATTGAATCTGGATTATGTAGAGCGATTGTTATGTGAAAACTTGAATGTATGTTATGGATTTTAGTTCAGGGTTTCTTATTTTTCTGAATTCATGATAGATTCCTGTGTTTTCTGCAGGTTCATCCTGTTTTGATGGTAACTGGCCTTCTTCTGCTGAATGGGGAAGGTAAACTCTACTTTTTAAACTATCTTCTAAGATGAACTGATATATGTCTGGATGTTTACTTTTTTTTATTAAGCTCTGTATGGGTTAAGGTGTCTGTCTGTGAATATGTGTTACGGAGAACAATGGGTTTAAGGGAGGCAAATGGGAGAGGGTTGGATTATTTCCGAGGTATTTCTGGTATTAATTTGTTTGAGTTGGCTGTATCAGGACAAATTAGGCGTCCTGGCTTATTCCATATAGCCATTTTGGCTTAAATCTATATGGCTGAGAATTAAGCTTGTTAAGCTGTAAGTAAACAGACCTTAATGCAAGATGCTTCTTTGTAAGGTTCTTGGTGCAAAAATTGTATAAAACTAGTGTATGGTAGCTGCTTTAAGACGAGTCCGGTAATATCCCAACCGGAGATGGGGTCTCGGGAGGTGGAATGTACGCATACATGTCCTCTACTTTTAGTAACAAAGAGGCTTTAAGATGCATCGAGGTACATATTAGTTGGTGTGGGTGTTTCTATCTTAATTAGAGTGTGTTTGGTACGCATGATAAGACAGTACAAAAACTTGTTGTCTTAAATTTGACACAACATTTAGACTATGACTGGACAAGACCTAAGTTTTTTTAAAATATTGGAGATGAGACAAGATTGGTAAAGTACATTAGTAAACTACCCATGTCAAATTATAACCCTAAAACATTTTGAATACCTCACTCTAGCTCGTCCACTCCAGTTCTGTCTGTGCACCAAACGCACCTTTATTGAACGTGAATATGATTTTGCATGTCAATCCCATCTTGCCAAAGTTGCATGTAATATGCAAATGGCTTCAAGTTCAGGTGGCTTGCTTTTTACTGAATTTTGACATGCTCTATATATCATTTACAATGAACTCGAGAAACTTCTAGCAGAGAGAGATTTACGTGTATTAGATACGTTTTGAACAATGATCCAAATAAGAGTCTTGTAACAATATCATTTGCGGTTATGCATCTCCAGGATGTGTATTTATCAAGAATGCATGTAGGATTTTATGGTTCAATTAACATTGGAAATCTGAGTCCTAATTAATAATCCCTGCTTCTGTGGGTTGGATCATGGATGCAGCTATGCTGGTGTACAAGACGGTATCAGGAACAAAAGGTTTCAAAAAGCTAGTTCATCTCGCACTCCAGTTTCTGGCATTCGTATTTGGGGGAATCGGTTTATGGGCTGTTTGGAAGTTTCACAAAGATAGGGGGATCGACGATTTTTACACCCTGCACTCATGGCTCGGCTTAGCTTGCTTATTCCTATTTGCCATCCAGGTTCTTATCTCTCTTCTTCTAGGATTAGGATTTTGATTAGGAACCCAAAATTGATTAGGATGAATATTCATGATGAATAACCTCCACATTCATTGCGTTATTGATCATGAATATGTTACAACATTCATGATGAATAACACGTCGATGTTCCTTATGAATGAATATGCCACATCACACAGTGGGCAGTCCCCCGGTTCCTAATCAATTTTAAGTTCCTAACGGAACCTGCCCGTAACCTTTATATTTGTTTTCTCACCTTTCCTTATGGATGTAGTTTGTCATAAAAAATCACACTCTTTCAAGAGTTTCTACCGACATTTGGGGGGAAACATAAATGATACATTCCCTCTTCTTATTTATTTCCTTTCCCTCCTAAAAAGTTTATAGAACCCGTGATTTTTCCTCTTTTGCCTTCCGTTCCCTTCCAAAAAAAGGCTTCGAGGAAGTGTTTGAGGTATATTTCAGGATTGTGTACATCTCACCCCTCCTACACCCTACTTTCGAGCATGATATATTGGGTTTATTTGGTTTGACTTGTTTATTAGGTCAAATATGAAACCATATTAACCTTCAAAAACTCTTTAATTGTAGTGGGGGGCTGGATTTGCGACATTTTGGTACCCGGGTGGTTCGACGAAAAACCGAGTCTCATTGATGCAATGGCATGTCTTCTTTGGTGTCTATATATATGCCCTTTCTTTAGCTTCTTGCATCACTGGTATTTTAGAGAAAGCAACATTTCTTCAAACCCACAAGATAATTTCACACTATTCTACAGAAGCAATTATGGTGAATATTTTGGGTGTGTTGATCGTTTTACTGGGCAGTTTTGTTATCTTTGGGGTTATATCACCATCAAATGGCAAAGGAGAAGTGATCCGAGGATCAATCGAGTAAGCGGGACTTGAGTTAGACTAATTTTCCACATTGTGACGGAGGCAAATTTTAATGATGTAAGCGAACTTTTTCCATTTGGTTTCTTGATCCAGGCTAATAGAAGAACAACCGATGATGGTATCTTCCTAAATAGAGGCATTTTACACTCGAATTTGGTCATGATGGTGACTTCATCCATCTACTAATGTTGTTTTTAGCACAACGGACCTGTGTTCTTAAGGTGCGCCATGGCAGCCGTTGTGGCACAGGGTTCGTGTCAGAGTAAACCTACTTATATATGGTCTTATATCAAGGTAAAAGTTGAAAGCATGTGTGTATCTAGAGTAGGATCAAAGGACAACAATGTCAACAAGAAAACACAAAAACGGTCAAATCGTGATTTTGCACTGAATTAACATGCAATTACGGAATACATAATCGCTTAAATCACATGTGATTTTAGTGTAAACTAACATGTGATTTTGGCATTTTATTTGGTTACTATTCTCGTTTGAATCCGACTATATATGTATACATATAGATAGGGAGGTTCAAACAAGAACAATAATCAAATAAGAGAAAATTAAACATCATATGTGATTTTACACTAATGATCAACACCAAGGTGTAAAATCACATGTGATTCGGCCGTCTTTTATTCTTTTATTTGGTTACTGTTCTCGCATAAACATGGATACACACACATACATATATATATATATATATATATATATATATATATATATTTGCCATAAAAAATAACGCCTTAGAAGAACATTGCTGCCTCACCATGGCTTCTAAATCTCAAGGCTTAACCTCACCGTCATGTTTCATGTCTTTTAAAACCTTGCAAGAGACTGATGTTTATACATAGAACTCGAGTAAACATGTAGGGATAAAATTGAATGATTTTTGTGACAATGTTATGCATGCAAATACAAAGCAATGTTGAAAATGAAACCACATTGAAAACATGAACGTAGATGAATGTTCTATGAAAGATTAGATGTTCTCAAGCACCTCATACGAAACTAGGATGAATCGGTCCCTTTGAGATCCCAACACGAACTTCCATTCCGTGGTGCATGTCGGGGATGCACGTCGTTTCAGTGTCATGAACACCTTCAACGATTATCAACAGTAAAACGAGATCAAGCATAAAATATTTGAATTCAAACTTGCAATAGAATACCAAGTCAGTAGGACCATGACCATGATTTGATTGTTATAGTTAAGAGCGCGTGAGGCTAAATGAACCCTGCCATAATTGAACCATGCCTACCAATTCTATAACTTTGATCCAAAGGGGTTAAAATTGCATATAACAAAACATGAAACATTGTTCCACAGTAAAACAGGCGTGAACAAAATGAAACAAGCCTATATTTTACCAACATACTCCTAAAATAAGGACTTAATTTTCTTCTAACTGTCCTCAAATTATTATTTTTATACGTTCTCTATATTTTGGTTAAATTTACGTATTTCTAAGTATTAATAATAAAAAAATGTAGAAAAAGTATAAAATAAAATTCTAAATTAATAAACCTCATATTTTGATTTCATTCTAATCGTCTTGACAAAAACTTTTTAATGATGTATTTTGTTATAAAAAATATTTATTTTATTGTAATTTATTAAATTACATTAATTTATCAAACCATAAAAAATAAATAAACAACTCATTAGGGTAAATTGGTCATTGTCATGACCACTCTTGTCTTACCAAGAGCTAAAAAATTTGTCTTATCATGTCTTGTCCAGGTACCAAACGCACACTAAAACAACTTGTAGTAATCACATGAACTCATATCTATATCAAAATCACTATCGATTGATTATGGTCTACCTTGAAGGGGAAAAAAGGTGTTGATAAATGAAGCTTTTTTGGATCAATCCGGAGCATTGAAAATGTATAAAGTAAAGTATGATGCTAATGTCTAAGAGTGTATTAATAGGTAGGGTCTAAGTAGCAACTAAAGAGGGTTCATTTAGAATTTACACAGTAAAAATAAAAGAAACTAATATTTAGTCGAGAAATTGACCAAAATAATCATTTTACTAGTTTTTTCATCAAAATTTCTATAATATCAACAATTGCATTCCCCAAGTATTCAAAAATTGGGTCAAGCTTGAGGAGCCAAGCTAGCCAATTGCGGAATGACCTCTTTTTGATTTTTTTAAAATTATTTTTAATAGGAAAATATACATTCCGCAATTTAGGGCTTGACCATTTGTGGAATTGATGATATTTTGCCCATTTTGGTGAAAACGTGGCTAAAAAGTGAATTTTTGTCAAATAAAATGGCTACTTTGGTCAATTCCCCGCAACGTTAATGATTGCACTTGGTACTATGATTTTTACCTTGGAAATAATCTTCAAAACCAAAGTCGTCCAAGGCTCCTGTCAATGATTCTAATCCAAGCATGGATGATGGTACAAGTCCCGGAGGCCTTTGAAATCTGATTTTAAAACAGATAGGAAAATAAGAAACTCCCACAGGAGAACAACTGTTTTGCTGTAAAATAATGGTTAGCAAGTTGAGCCAAACAAACCCAATACATTCCATACATAGCAGGTTATAAGGGTGGGATGTACGTAGGTCGATTCTAAATCAACAATTTGATATTCAAAAAAGAACTTCGTTGTAAAAATCCTATAAGCGAATGAATATGTATTTTAAGTTAAAAGATTTCCCACCCTAAAAAATGTCGTGTACAACTGTAACATATCAGAATCACTCTCTTCTAGCGTGATCAAGAAACCGGAAGAAACCATAAGCAAAGTATGCAAGAAGGAAATCGCCAATTGAAGAGTTCAAACACATGAACTCCTCATGTTATGTGTGTGGCATTGGCATCATTATCATAGCATCAAGGCATCTTCGATTCAAGTACCTTCGATGTATACAAAGCTCCAAACAAATGTGACATCCACACAAAATTGGTTTAGGTTCAACGTGTCTGTTTCTAAAACCCTATATCTTCGCTAAATTGCATTCTACAGCAGAGTAACAACTAACATGTGTTACATGTCTCCCTTCTTCCTCTGACAATATGCTTTCAGAAGACAACTCTATTTGTAGCCTTTTCAAGTATGTAGATAACAAATTGTCTTTTAAGAGGCAAATCAAATGAGAACCAAAAAAATATTGAGAACCATAATAACCAGTTTAACATGCATTGTATCACATGTGAAATACTTCTATGAAACAAAGAGAATTGATTCACATGTGAAACAAAACATGTCCATACATCTCATATATGTAACACACAAACGAGCACACGAAAGAACAACAATACCACCTTGAATCCCAGCCTAAAATGGAATTCATTGAATGGTAGGGATTTGTTCTGACTTCTAACTGGTTCTCATGTGATTCTCATTTGATTTTTCTCCTTTATCTTTCATTTGGATAGTAAGGGGAAATTTGGTTGGTTTTTCCATCAAGTCATGTATGATTAAAGCTGTCTGTGTGGATTAATCTGTTTGTATAGGTCTGGAAGATTCTTGTTTGTAAGGGTTTCTTCATGATGGAATGAGCGGGTTTTTTAATTGGGACACAAAGTTTTGAAAAAACCAAACAATCATGTATAGCCGACTGAACAAGCTGCGAGTCCCTTAAGCTGCGAGTCCCTTAAGCTCATTAAGCTGCTTATAAGTCAAGTCAAGAATCCTAATCGCAGAAGCTTTCCATGATGGCTTGGTAATCAAGCAAGCAGTAGTATGAAGGAAAAAGATTTTCACTAAACGATAACTTCCACTACGCTAATGGATAAACCAATTTCCTTCTACTAGACTATATCAAGTAATTTTGCAGACACACTATAAGAGCAAAAATAAAACAACATCCAAAGCGCAAAGAGACCAGCCAGACCTCATTTTCATCCACCTAAAGCTGAATTGGACAGGCTACAGGTAAACTCCATATATTTCCAAACAACAAACACTGAAACTGATCAATTTAAGTGTCAACAGCTTACAAACCGACTATAAAATCCACAAACAAGCAAAACTCTGATTCAATTTTCAAGTAACAAGAGATCATGAAACTAAGATTAATTACTAATGAAAAAACATAACTCAACACCAATCCATACCTAGAAAGGATTTTCCGGTCGAGCTCCTGCTTTACTGAAAAAGCTGAGCCATAGGTATTCGCAAGAATCTTTCGTTTCATATTCTCTTCTCTCACGATTGCCTGAACAACCACATTCAATTCATCATCATAAACGTGTTTCTAATCATCAATTAATTTAAAACAAATTAAAGAGACGGTAGGAATACAGGATACCGATTGAAAGGCTGATTCAAGAGGATGAGATCCAACGATATCACTCTTGACGCCTTGAAGTCCGAAACGAAACGCATCGTTTTTTAGACCTCCGATTTCGTGCTCTATCTTCTTCGATCCTTCCATCGTCTCTGTTCTCGAGTGAGAAATTGAGAACGATGATGGCTCTGTAAATACCCCCAAACATTAATTCCGCCACAAGTCACCACATCATTATATATAACTGGGCCTTATTTTGTTAAAGCCCAATAGATTCTATAAGCCCATTTACATTTTAAAGGTTTACCTTTGAAGCCCAATACTATGCATTTTGATTTCGAGTAAATTGCAAGTTTGGTCCCTGTGGTTATTATAAAATTTTGAATCGAGTCCCTCAAATGAAAAAAATTATAGATTCAGTCATCATGGTTTCACTTTTGTTATGCATTAGGTCTTTTATTCTGACTCCACTAATTATTAATATATTAAGTCAAGAGTAATATCGTCATTTTCATTCTTTAAAAATAAAATAAAAAGTTATATATGTCATATATACATATATATAAGTATGTGTATATATATGTGTGTGTGTGTGTGTGTGTATCTGTGTGTGTCTACAACTCCCAACATTGAGCTCTCTCCTCCTAAACTTTGACCACTCACCATTGCCTTATCCCTCCCCTTTTCGATGAGTTGTTTGGAATGGATTACTACGTTGGGGAAGATTTAAGAAGCAAATTTTTATGTTTTTGTGAGTTATTTTGTACCCGTTATTCTGAAAACTGTAGAGATTTATATCAAATATCATTGTCATCATCTTCCAGTTCCTACAAACAGTAGCCTGGAATCATCTGCAAGAATTGCCATCTTGCCACTGGATTGTTCGAAAACTGACCCAAAATCATAATGTTGGTCGTATTACTTTCAAATTTCTCAATCGCTCTAGAGATCATACAAGTGTGATTAGCTTCCACCATCCAACAATGGTGAAACAGTTTCTACAATCTACCAGCTCAGTCTTTCTTGAACTTGCAGTTTGGAGCCATGAAAATGCATAAATCATTGCAAAAGAGTTTTCAATATCTGATTCACGGAGCAAAAGAGAAGTACAGGCCATGCTCGTTTTGAACTGTGTGTTTGTATATGTATTATGTATATGTATATATCTATAATATACAATACAAACTTCTATTTTATTTTTCTTTAAAAAAATTAAATAAAAAATGTGAAAAGGATCAAAAAGACCCCTGATTTAACGGAGTTAGAAGCAAGGACCCAATCCATAACAAAATTAAAACCATGCTGACCATTTTAATAATTATTTCGTTTGAGGAACCCGATCTATAATTTTCATATAACCACAGGGACGGAATTTATAATTTACTATTTGATTTGGTTAAATACGAAAAAACAATTTATTTCATAAATTTCTTTACTATAGCATTGTATTTTCATTTTTTTATTACAATAATATATTTTCAATTTATTTTTTATTAAGGTGTTGTAAAACATATTTTATATCATTGACATTTTTAAAAAATGTTAAAAAAATGACTTTTTGAATAATAAAAATAATAAGTATTACATTTTCTTATAAATTAAATATTTATTTTGAAAAAATATATTACTATAAAACATTTCATTTACGTACAATTAAATAAGAGTGAAAAGTTTTCGAAAGGGTTTTAAAGAGAAGTATAAAAACCATAATCCGGACGGAATATGAATAATCGGAGGGAAATGAGGAAATTATTAAAAAAAAAATTGGAAGATATTTTTTATTTGTTTATGCCACGTAATTTGAATGACCCGACATCCATATCATTTCATTTAAGTCATGTAAGTTAACAAAAACAATGTAGGGTTAACCAGTTTAAAAGGTAAAAAGTTACTTATTATTATAATGGGTAGAATTTTCAAAGTAATGATCTAATAAAAAATTATTTGAAAATACACTGCTATAATAAGAAGAAAAAATGAAACTACATTGCTATAATAAGGGAAAAAATGAAACTACAATGCTATAATAAGAACACTAGTGCTCGGCACCATGCGTTGCACGGTGATCATAACGCATGTCAAGTAATATATAAAAAATAGTGAACCACATCAATATCCCTATACTACAAAATTGAAAATATTAAATTTTAATAGTGCATTTGTAACCCTTCCAATATTTAAAGCCATCCTTCTCGTTTCATATACTTGACTCTTTTTCAGTAATTTCTTCTCATTAATATGGATTAAGATTCAAGTAAAATTCAACCACAATTAATGATTTGAAAATATTAAATTCTAATTTGTCACATCAATATCTTATAACATTATATATTAATTTAATTAATTAATTACTTTGACTTTTAATATAGATTTATTTTGTTAAAAGAGGATTAGCCAAAAATCCTATGTTAGAAAAGTAAGCCAAATAAGTTAAACACCATGAGTTTAGATAATTATTCAAGGGGAGTCAGTCCAATAGATTGCCACAGAGACATCCCAATATTCCTTTAAATATCTATCATTCAGTGTCAATCTTTTATCTACCTATCACTATGGGATAGACAAAACTATTCACAATTCAAGATTAAATAATACTTAATCTTAAGATGTCACATTGATGGTTATGGTTCTTACTTTTAAATATAGAAAGAATAAAGATTATATATATAATTGATTTTTAATATTGATTAACTCTTCTTGCAAAAAGAGAGTTGACCAAAATGAACCAAGCCCATGTGTTCGGAGAGTCGGCCAAAATGTTCTAACCACAGGTGTTCAGAGAATCAACCAAGAGGAACCAACCTCATGAGTTGTCACAAAGGCATCTAGACCTCATTTTACATATCCAACATTTTTGTCAATCTTTCAATTCTCAATCAGTGTGGGATATATAAAACTCAATCACAATTTAAGATTGAAGAATATTCAATTGTTAGGGTGCCGCATCAACGGTTCCGCTTTTTACTTTCAAAAACATATTAAAATTATCCCTTCAATTAATATTTAGTGTAGATTAATTTTGTCACAAAAAAGGGTTGGCTACATATGTTTGGAAGTTCAGTAAAAATGAGCAAAGCATGTGAGTTTAGACAATTGCTCGTGAGTTTAGACAATTGTTCCAAACATTTATGTTGCAAAAGAGTGCCATCCAAATAAGTTAACTTTATGAGTTAAGCCTTTTGAGTTGACGCAATGAATTTCGTTCTTTTTTTCTTATACACATCTCTTTATTCCAATCTTCAATCTTTCATCAAAGTGGGATATCTCAAATTCAACCACAATTCACCAACACTTCAATACTTAATTCTCATGATGCACCTAATTACCTATTGGTTCTTCTTTTTATATATATATATATATATATATATATATATATATATAATATGATTTGTTTTTGAAAAAATAGGGTCATCCAAATAAGATAACCTTATGACTCAAGCATCATGAGTTGATATACAATATAAGATTTGTTTTAAAAAATTAGGGTCATCCAAATAAGATAACCTTATAAATCTAGTTTCATGTGTTGAAACAATGACTCTCATCATTATTTCTTATACACACCTTATTATTTCAATCTTTCAATCTCTTACCAATGTGGGATACCTCAAACTCAACCACAATTTATCAACACCACAATACTCAAATCTCATGATGCCACCTCAATACTTTTGGTTCTTCCTTTAATATGTATATATAGATTTATGAAATTATGTTGTTATTTCATGCATTTAACCTTTTTAATTTTTCAAATCGTTTGAATTGAAATAATCAAATTTATTTTTGAAGTGTATATTATTTATATGTGGAAAATACAACAGATAAATTCATCTACTTTTCTCACATTTGGTGAGATTTAAATCCCTGACTTTTTGGGAGACCAGAAATTTGGGTACTGTTAGGCCAAAAATTATTTGATAAGAGTATTTCTAATAGATTCTTCAAAATAGAGATTTTAGAGTTTTTAGGCAAATTTTTTGCTCTCAAGTTTTTTTTTTCTAAAATGGAGAAAGTATTAGAGAAATATTGTAATTCTCCAAAAAAAAAAATGATTACTATAAAAGAAATAAAATAAAATTCATATAAAAAAACCTTGAAATTAAATATTTATTAAATGTAAATAATATTATAATAATATTGTAATCTCAAGAATTTATTAGAATTAAATGTAATTTATTTATTTTTTGAAAATTTTTAAATTTTAATTTTCCGTTTTAAAGAAATTTTATATGTTAGGAATGCTCTAAATAATCAATTTTTGATTAATAAATAAATATAAAATTATTTACTTATTTTTTACTTTAATAATGGTAATTTACTCTTAATTATTAAAGTCGTAATAATTATTATAAACGCTCATCCAGCCTTCTCTATAATTGTACTCCATGATAGTTTATATGTTTTTAATCAGCCGTGACTTTTAGCAATGTCGTTTTTTTTTGCTGTTCCGTAAATAAATTGGTCTAACTTTGTTTTAGGTTGAAATATAAATCTTGTTAGTTGCCCAATTAACTTAGGGTTTTTATATTTCCGAGTGTTTTGGGTATTTTGAAGATCGTAGGTTTTAGTATGCTTATATTAAGATGGTGTTGGTGAGTTTCAAAGAACTCAACTCTGACCTCATTTGTTGTCGTTTGTCACATAATGCTAATTAATCCATTTCTCTTGATACCTTAGCTTCCAATTGGAGAAAATATCTTACTGTGTCTGGAAAAAATATAGCCGTCGTTAGTCTTTGTGATCAAAGACAGCTGAAGAAGGCGAAGCTGGTGGGTTTTGATTTTCGATATTTCTTCTAACTGTACATTTTTTGCTACTTTTGATATGATTATACTAAAATCAAATAATGAAATATATCAATATATATATATATATATATATATATATATATATATATATATATAGTTGGGTTCACGTGAGACCAAAGATTTTTTGTAAGACCCATAAGACCAATTTATGTTCATTGATCGACTTTATAAGCCAATGATCTAATGGTCTAAAGTTGCACGGTGACAATTTTGTGATTATTGAGAAGTCTCGTGGCAATTTTGTGATTATGAATGTTCAGATTGTAGATATAATCCAAGAGTTGAGAATTGGTTTTACGGGTCTCACGAAAAACCTTTGGTCTCACATGATCTCAAGTCTATACATATATATAAAATCAAATATAAACCCTATTTTCTTTGGATCGGAGTTTAAA